ATATTTTGGTTATTTATAGATATATAAGATTTTTTTTATGAAATTAATAATAATATTGAATTATAATTATAGATATTATGATTATCTAAAGCAAAATGTTCGGTTGAATTAAAACGAAATTTGTCTTATTTTGTATCTTGATATTAATAATAAATGTTTTTATATATAATCTTAAATATATAAGTATATTGTGCAATTTAATTGTCGTGAGGACAAAAAGATAATGCAATATATCCAATATTTTTGTAAAAAATACTATATAAAATACTCTGAAAATATATAGTCTTCCCAAAAAATTTTGATATAGATTTTAAATGAACTTGGCTGTTTAAACTTTGAAAAAATAATATAAATAATATTCTCAATTTTGAACAATTTATATATCAGGAATAATGAAGTTACAATTTATAATTACAAATAATTATGAATTTTTTTGCAGCATATATTATAAATATGTTTTTTAAACTCATGATCACAAGAAAAAAATAAGATAAACAAATTTGAAAAAATTCATAAAATAAAAAATTTTGAATAAAAAAAAAATACTCAGAAAAAAAAATCAAAAATATATAAGGCAGATAGCATTAAGAACGTATGAAATATAGCCCATAACATAAATTTTCAAGGATTTTATCTTATATGCTGTTATTCTAATAAGTATTTATAATTCTAGAAAGGCTACAAACAGTAAATCATACTTTATGGCAACTATGAAGAAGCATTTTAATAAAATTTGGCTTATTTTAAAAGGTCAATTTAAGGCCAATTTAAGGTCAAATTTTATTAAGATATCTCCTTTTAGCTGCCATAAAGTTTTGATAGAAACCGTAACTTTTTAAAAAAAGAAAAACAACTTTTTCTTGGAATAAAAGTGTAATAAACCCTTTTTGAATTTGTTTCCTATCAAAACTTATTGGGGTGACTATATTTAAAGTATTGAATCCTTAAAGCAAAGTACTCAAACCTTAAAGCAAAAAGTATTCAATTATTTGACAAATAAAATAATTTCAATACTCCTTAAAGCAGGAGTATTGAATTCTTATTACAAGAGACTATTGAAATTTCAGCCATATAAAACAAATTGAAAGGTCCTTATTACAGCTCGTTATTTTTGGAAAACGTTAAGTTTTTTTTATTAATTTTGTTAACCAAATTTTAATATATATATATAAATATAAAGATAAATTTGTTAACCAAAAAACTAAAAAAAAAAACGTTTTTATTTTCATTAAATATGCTCTTTTTTGGCTTTTTGAATAGGGAAGTGTAATTTTTCCCCAGAAAATTGAATGGAAAAAACTGGGGAAAAATGGTAAAAAACTGGGGAAAAATGGTAATTTTTTTGAATTGAAAATGATCGTTTTTTAAAAAATATTTTTTATAAAATTACAGCATAAACAACATTTAGAGTTTCAAAATTAAAATAAAATATTAAGAAAAAGAACAATACATAAAATGCATATGTCTATTACCTCAAAAAAAGAATTTTAAAAATATCAACATTACAATTAAAAGGAAAAATTTCTAATTCGAAATGACTGACAAAAATTGTATTACATATAAATGAATATAATAATTATATAAATGTTATCCCAGAGAAAATTTAAAAATACATAAGAGAAAATGAAAAAAGCAATATTTTTCATTTTATTTTAGGTAAAATCAGAACCAAATTAGAGAAGAATATGAAGTACTTTTGAAAAATAATTATAACAAAAAAGAAAAAATCACATGTCAATTCATATCAGAAAAATGATGAAGTTTGTTTGAAATAAAAATCTCATTGTAATATAAAATATCATGTTTTTGCCTGTATTTTAATATATATAAAAATAAAACGATTATACTATGATTTATAAATTCAAAACCTAAGAATATAAAGGATTTATGTAATATAAACACTTTTTTTCAAAATGTAAAATTTTCTTATGTGTAGGTTATCAAAAACACTCCATAAGTGTATCTTGAATATGCAACCATTCTTCCCAGGAAAAAAAGGTAGCATAGCAATTATTTATTCACATTATGATTAAATTTATGATATTATTTAAATAATCAATCAATTGAGATAGAATATTAGGAAAATTTGAGAAATCATCTTATCTTGAATTTCAATAAAAATATGCATTAAAAAGTGTATTAGTATAGAATATATCATTTTAGACAATAAAAATCTTTTTAATTCAATTATTAAAAAAGTTGGAGATAATATATTAGTGAAAAAATAGTGATTGAGCAAAATTCTCATTTATATTTATTTATATTGTATTTTTAGATAATAATCTTTAAAATTACCCTGCATTCATCTTCCTGAAATAAGATCGGATTATTCATAATATAATAAAAAATTTGTAAATTTCAGGTTTATAAAGGTTCAAAATGGGTTTATAATGCTACTAGATAATTTTAACTTTATTTGAACAGTTAAATTTTTGAAACGATAATTTTTGCATTTGATAAGATATTTGATTAAAAAAAAAATTCAAAAAAAACTTTATTTGTACCCTTAATAATGATTAACCATGCTAGAAAAGATTTGATACTGCATTAAAAAGGCCGAATGGTGACTGATTTAAAAGTTGGGGAAAAATGGTTAAAATTTACATTTTTTTTATAAAATTTTAGGCAAAAAACCATTTTTCCCCAGGTTGAAATGTGATATAAAAAAAGTTGGGGAAAAATGGTAATTTCCCTTTTGAATAAATGATATTTTGATGTAATAAGAGCCGTTTAAAATAGACTTTAGCTCGGGGTGTATTTGTCATATAAGAAACAAAATGTAGAAAATAATACTGCATTAAGATTATTAATTTTTTTTGTTTGGCTGTGTTTTTTCGAATATTATATATTTTTGGCGGGATTTTAAAAAAGTGGTGTTAAAATCAAGAATAATAAGATTATATGGAAATTATATTAAAATATTGATATATTGTCAAATATTGATGATGAATCAAAATTGGTTTGATCTCTTTTGCATTCGTTTTAATGAAAAAGAGCTTATCAAAAAAAATGATATTTCAAAAAAGGTACCAAAACTCTATTTTTTCGGACAATACCTTTTATATATTATTAGATTATTTTTTAAATACTCATATTTATATATATTTATAAATATTAAAAATTTATCTAATAATTTCTAGTATAAAAAGAAATTTAATTCGGTCTAATTTTGATTAGTTTACAAATTTTTAAAAATTGAAAAAGTTTTGAAATGATTGTTTTATAAATTTGAATAAAAAATCTTTTTGATTAACATTTTGTAAATAAATATATACACATAAATGTTTACATATATATATTTATTGTTATTAATAGTTTTTTTGATTATTTTTTGAGAAACTAAAAAAATTATCATTTTAATTATTGCATTTTATAATTTCATTGTTATTATATATATTAATATACATTTTAAAATTATTAAATATCTTATATTGTGAAATGTAATTTATAAAAATAAGATAAATATATTTTATTATTTGAATGCATTCTGAATTTATAAAATTAATATTGTGTTGATATCTTAAGAAATTAATAAATATAATATTAAACAATATATTATATATGATTTAATAATATGGAATATTTTGTAAAACACATTTAATATCTAAAATGCCTATTTAGATTAAATATATCGAGAATTTTTCAACAAATTAAAAAAAACTTTCGTAACTGAATTTTAATGATTTTTCATTATTTCATATCCTAACAAATATCAAATATATCATTAGATATCTCATATTATATATTATATTTCAATATATAAAATGAATTATATATTTAATTTAATATAAATAAAATGTAGTTTAAAAATATTATTATTTAAATTTTTTCATAAATTGAAAGAAAAACTATAATAAAATTTTCACTTCTCAATTATAATTTTTGTTTAATTTTCCATATTTTTCTCAAAAAAATTGGATTATAAATAAATATATTATTATTTTAAATCTTTAGGTAATTTTGATCGTGATTTCAATGCATTCAAAATTGAATTCTCTTAGATTGACGACTTCACCTTTTTTAAAAAAATTGAATTCGCTTAGATTGACGACTTCACCTCTTCAGAAAAAAAAATTAACCTTTTTTTCTCCTTAAACCGTCAAAAAAAATAATATTTTAGCTTTATCTCAATAAATCCTAGATAGATCTTCCAATACACGAGATATATCATGTAAAATAAAATATTTAAAACGATAAAATCATTACAAGAAAATGTATCGAAGGGATTAGAAATTATTTGGAAATTATTGAAATATCGATTTTTGATTTTTCGTATCTCCACATATTCTTAATTAATTAAATATATTTTTATTTTATAAACAAACAAATATAATAATATAGAAAAATATAAGTTCAAAAATAAAAAAATAATATTTTAATCACCACTTTTCTAGGGTTTTTAAATTTTTCAAAAAGTAAAGATTAAAAATTCTAATTTCTTATGTAATGAACTAAACAGGTTGTAAATAGTATCATACAATTATACATATGATAAGGATTTAAAATATGCTATTAAAATTTTAGTAAGTCTTAAAATTACCAACTTTTTGCTTTCAACAAATTGAAAGAAAAGAGTTTGTATACCTTTATTTCAAATTTTTCAGCACCAATCCTTGAAATTGTAAATTTGGAATTACTCAATCTCATCAAGATAAATCTAGAATTGTGAATGAAGAATTATAAAATGTTTGAAAATGAAAAGAAAATTTCATTTAATGAATTATTTAATGAATTATTCAATTAAAGATGATGAATTTCAAAAGAACTTTTTGAAGACTTTGCCATGCAGTAAGGATGCCTCCAAAGCCTATTTTTCAGGTGTTGGAGGAAGATTTTGTAAAACGTGGAGGATGTTTCACCGACAAAAAATTTTCAATACTTCCTCCATTCTTCCAATGCTTTTTCGTTTGGCGTGTCGAAAAAATGGAGGAAGTGGCATTGGAGGTATCCTTTCAAAGCAAAGTAGAGTAATTAATTTTTAAAAAAAGAAATTTTTAAAAGCCTGTATAGCATAGTGGACATTGCGTTCTCCGGCACTGAGAAAGGTCGGCGGTTCGATCCCCCCTGCAGGCGTTTTCTTTTTCTCTCCCTTCATCTAATTTTTCCTTCCTCTTTCATTCAGTTAAAAAACAGGCATAGCAAACTTTAAAAAAAAAAATTATATTTAAATTTAATAATTATAATAAAATGAGATTGTAATATAGATATCATAGATCAATCTGTTTTATTAACAAAAATATTTTGTGTTTCATAACTTTTACTCTTCTTTACCTTTCTTTGTAGGGCCAAGGAGAACTTTATGAATATGTGGAACAACACCTGCAGATGCGATTGTAATATGGGAAAGAAGCTGATTTAATTCTTCATCATTTCGGATTGCAAGCATAATATGACGAGGAGAAATACGGGTTTTCTTATTATCACGAGCTGCATTTCCTGCAAGTTCAAGAACTTCGACTGTAAGATATTCGAGGACTGCTGCCATAAAAACTGGAGCACCTGCGCCAACACGTTCTCCATAACGTCCTTCACGAAGGAAACGATGAAGACGTCCTACTGGAAATTGAAGTCCTGCACGAGATGATCTTGTCTTTGGATGCTGGCGTTCCCCATCAACGGCTGTTTTTGAGGCTGTCTTTTTAACTCCCTTCTTTGCTGGCATTCTAACAAAATGAACTCACGATTGAGTTTTATGGCGCCAACACTCTTTTCTTTTTTGGCGGTAATTTTATTAATAAAATAATGGGTGTAAATTTGTTTTTTAAATAATATGTAGTAAATTTAAAATGATAATATCTTAATAAAAAATAATCGATTAATACAAATTTTAAAGTTTTTATGAATTATAATTTATAAATTTATTTATTTTAAAAAATAAATCATTTCTTAATATTTAAATATTTATATTCGAAAACGAATTTTTTAAAATAAGGGCGAAGGTCCAATTAAATAACAAAAAATCAATGAGATTTCTCAAATATTTTTAATCTTTTTTGGAGTAGGCTTGTTAACTCTCGATTTTCGATATCGACTAAGGGTGTCCAAATTGGATATTTTAACCGTTTTTTGGATTTTTTTTTTAAAAAAAAAAATTTGGAAAACTAAGCATGTCAACAATAGCCTCCATAGATTTAAAATCCAAAACTGGTTTTTATTGGTGATTTTTAAGTTTTGTTGTCGAAAATTTTCATTAAGAATTCTTCATTTTTTTCGAGTAATTAGACTTGTTATTCTCCGATTCTCGAGATCGATAATTGATTAACTTTTTGATATCGATACATAAATATACACAGATTCTCGAGATCGATTTCAGAGATCGAGAATTTTTTTTCTCAGCTTTTGATATCAGAATTTTCAATTAAACTTTTTGATAAATATATGATCGTAATTCATTCTCAAATATTTCATAAAAAAGAAGGTAAGAGGTATTCACGAAGAAAACTAGCCTAGCAATTTAATTCTAACTTATTTTTTTTATTTTAAAATATGTTATTAAGATAAATTACAAATTTTATATGATTCCATGTGTTTATTTTCAAGATATTGCTTAAGCATTTTTTTGTGAGAAAAAAAAACTATTTTCAATATATTTCGATATTTATTTGGAATTTTAAATGAAAGATTTTCTATAAAACAATATAAAATATCTCAATATATATATATATTGACATTAAATAATTATAAATTAAAACATATATAGATTAATAATATTTTAAATAAAAATTTATTTAGATATTAACTTATTTTTATTTCAAAAAAAAAATATTTATTTAAAAATATTAGTTTTTCACAAAATTTGTGAACACTTTTGTGAAATCCTTTGAAAAAAAAGCTAATTTTGATTTATTTGTTAGAAAAAATGAATATTAATAGAATTATTTAAATGTTTAGAAAATTATTTGATTCAAATTATCGGCATGTTCTATTATATATATATATATATATTTAGAAATATATATTTCAGGGATGTTTATCGATAGTGTCCGATAACGGTTAAATACGTTGCCAATATTATCGATATTATCGGGAGTAGAGTAGAATAACCGATACTATCCGATAATAAATATCATTATCGATAAAAACGGTTTTTATCATGGCCAATAATGACCGATATTTGTAACTTTTTTAAGGTAAAGAAAAGATATTTACTAGAAATTATGGCTATTTAATTGTTATATAATTATATAAAAGTTATTTTTTCAAGTAATGACATATAAAAAAGCTTGTATGTACAAATGATCAAATTATTAAAAAAGATTTTTTATATTTCATAGGAAATTAACTTTTATTATAATAAAAGATAAGTAATATATTATAATTCTAATAATATTTAAGTATGAAATTTAAAATCAATAAAGATAATTTTATTTTGGCAAAAAAATTAAATTTATCAAAAAGTGAACACGATAACTTTTTGTAAATTAATAAAATTCTCTCCATTTCTCTAAATATTTTTAGACTTGATATTCTTTTAATAAAAAAAAAACGCAAATTATTTTAGTAGCATTGCATTAATATTTCATTACATATTAAGATTCGTTAATTTGCAAATATGGAAATAATTTAATACTGAGAAGATATGAGGAAATTATCGTCTTATAACTTTGTTCTTAATCATAATCTTTTTTTGTTGGCCAATTGGTTCTTTTTTAAAAAATTTGAAAATAATCTTTTTATGTATTAATCAAAAACCTGATTTTTTAGCTTCTCATTATTATATTGGACATATAATGCACCCTGACCTTATTTCGCTTATTTCAGCATGCACTATTGAAGTACAATTAAAAATATAAAATTCCAAATTTTAATCAAAAATGAAAAAAAAAAGTATGGAAATTTTATTATAAAATATCGGAGAATATCGAACCGTAACCGTCCGATAGTGACCAAATATCGGCGGTTTTGCTTAACGTATTTATCGATAATTATTGGTTATCGAACAAATTTTTATCGATATTATCGGACTATCGATAATGAGCCGATAATCGATATTTATCATCATCGATCGACAACCCTGATATATTTTATCCAATATCTGTAAAATTTCAATTTATTATTTTTTTTTGTTGTTTGATTTTTGAACATTTTGACGTTTTGCACCCAAAAAAAACATCGATATTGTTGGAAACCAATTTTCTCAAAATTAAACACATAAATTTCTTATTGATGTCAATATATGTTAAGATGAATCGCACTTATTAATATATTAAAAATAAAAGAAAAAAGCTAGGCTGAAAAAAAAATTGGGTTAGATTTTTATTAATTCTTTTGTTTTTTTTTTGTTAAAAACATTGCTTTTTTAAATATCGAATTTATTAAAATGAGATATAAAGCCAAATCAATATTTAATTCTTTATATATTTATTAAAATTTTTAAGAATTTATAATCCTTATTAAAAAAAAGTCTATTAATTCTAATATATCTGAAATAATAAAATTCTTATATTTTAACAAGGGCAGCGACCAATGTCCCTACTTTAACGGTCACTGTTAACGGTCATATTGGTAGGGACAAATGGAGCAGCGACAAATGTCCCTACTTTAACGGTCATTTTTAACGGTTATAGTATATATTTACCTGTAAAAACAACGAGAGATGTGAATTTTATGATAAATTACGCATAAAATGTTTTAACAAAGCTAGGTTACAAAAATGTTTATAAGACGAATTCAAAAAAACTGAAAATTCAGATAAAAATTAGAATATGATTTATCCAAAAAAAAAAACTTAATAAATTAGTCGAAATGTTAACGTTAACATTATACAAAAGATGTTTATTTAAATTAAAACAAAATTTTCTTCTATATTAGGAAATAATATTATTAGTAATTTCTTTATCTGCATTTATAAAAATATTTTTAAGTTAAATAGCATGTGAAGTTCTTATAAATAGTTTTGTTTGATGTTTTCATGGTCAAAAAAGTTGAATGCATCTATTTCAAATTTTCTTGAAAAAAGTGTGAATAGGTGGTCATGGATTTTTTAATAAAAATATTTTTTTTTTCCATCATTGCTAAAACAAAGTAATTTCTTTTTATCATTTTTGTAACCTAGTAAGTTTATATGTACTGGATTAATTGAATACTGTTTGTTTGTATCAGAAGTGGCAATACAGCTATCTACAACATCGAAATATGACGCAATTTGCGAACATACTTCAGCAGATGTTTTCATATAAACCTCATGATTAATCATTTCTTGAATAAAAAAAGTTAATATATATCATCAAAGATTCTGTTTCGTCTTTGTCTTGGAATTGGTGGTTCATAATATTCTTCTTCTTGTATTGGAGGAGGAGGAGGTGCTTGTTTTGGTGCTGGAGTTTTCTTTGAGATTACTTCTTCAATTAATCGTTTTTGGTTCTTTCTTTTCTCTTTTGCGTTTGATTTCATCACCCAATAATTTGAGTTGATTTAAGATTTCAAGGTTTATCGTTGGATCGATTTCTTGACTTTTTGTGAGTTTTTTCGACTTTTGTTTTTGCATTTTGGGTTTTTCTTCTTCCTCTTCAAAAACTTCGTTCTCTTCATTTTCTGGAGTTTTTTCTTCTTTTTCTTCTTCTATTGGTGTTTCTCGCTTTTTAACAATATACTTTCCTTGTTTTCTAGTTGGCAAAACCTCCCAATCTGGATCGTCATGGCAATTTATCCACCTTTGAATAACCGCTAAACGTTTTGAGCCTGTTAAGTGTTTTGACATTTAAAACTCAATAAAATTGACTTTTCTTATTATTCATAATTTGATGAATGTACATGATTTATAGGTGCTGGTGAATTAGTAGAAGAACTACTCGATTCTGTTTTAGCGGGTTTTGGCATTTTATAGTTTTCATCTCTTCCTTGTGCATGATTATTGATTTTTGTTAATGCTTCTCTTACGTTGCCTTTTGGAATGTATTTTATTGCTGCATCCGCTACATTTGAGATTTTGTTTCTCATATTATCGCTTAAAAATGCTTTGCCTAAACTACCCATTGTTTTGCCTATTAATCCTGATTGATTTTTCATTATTCCTGTTGCATTATCCGCTAATTTACCTGCTAATCCTCCTGTTGCTGAATTTGCTGCTCCCA